ATAAAAAACAAATCAAAGTAAAATAAATACGTATGACATGAAATTGACCATTTTACCCATTTGTAAGTGTACAATTCAGCGGCCCAAGTCCAATCCTATTGTCACACCGCCACCACCACTCTCCAGCTTCGGTACTTCTTATAATAAACACCCCAAATTGAAACTGTGTCCCCATCAAATACTAACTCCAGCCTCTCCTTCCACCCAGCCCTTGGTCATTTCTATTTCTTTGTCTCTGGATTTGCCAATGTCCGGTAGCGCGTAAGTGGAATCACACAAAATTGGTGTTTCTATGGCTGGCTTATTTCACTTAGCCTAAAGCCTTCAGGCCCGTCCATGCTGTAGCTGCGCCAGAGTCCCCTTCCCTTCAGGGCTGAACGCCACGTGTGTCTAGAGGCCACATTTTGTTTACCGATTCACCTTAGTGGTGGTCTGGGTTGTTTCCACCTTTTTGGCTCTTTTGAACAATGTTGCTATGAATATTAGAGTACAAGTAACAAAAAGTTAATACAAAAATGAAAAACAAACGAATCTTTTACTTTGGGGTAGACTTGTGGCCAAGTGGCACAGCCACTACTGTGTGCCTGTTCACCCCACGCCCAGCTGCCCCTATCGCCAGCACCATGTATTATTACAGTAACTTGTCTTTGTCACGCTTAAGGAAGCAACACTGATACGTGATTATGAACCAAATGCTGTACTTTGTTCCATTTTCATTAGCTTCCCCTAAAGTCCAGAATAGTCCCCACAGCCATCTTGTCTCCTCCAGCCTCTGGGAGGCATGACAGTCACTCAGATTTTGCTGTTGTTAAGGACCTCGACAGCCGTGAGCTGCGCCTGTGGTATTTGGGAGCGTGTCCTTCAATTTGGGCTTTTTTTTGATGTTCTTCTTCTCTCCTGGTTAGACTGGGGCTATGGGTTTTGGAGAGCAAGACCCGCGGAGACAAAGCGTCATTCTGGACACATTATAGCAGGGGTCCCTGCCAGTAACGAAATGCATTTCCTGCTTGCCCATCGGTATCTGTGTTCAACCGGGTATGGGCTCAGGTCGCTGTCTCCTGCTCCAAGCCAGCGCCTGCCCTTGGCGGCTACGTCCTCAGAGCTTCTCTTATCTAAGCTCTATTTTTGAACATCGTCACTGCATAAAGACTTTCTCTCCCACCCTGGCCTTTACCCACTGAAAAGGATGGCCAACGTGGAAAGTTTTACAAGCTATAAAAAACCTTGCCATCTGATGCAGGCACAATGGAACAATCACACAGGATGGTCTTGCTTCACCACCCAACTCACTCGACCATGGCCCATTAGTCCACATTGCCACTCGCTCAAGCCCTCAACAGTCCTTGAGGCGCTCCCTGTCTCTCAGCCAACGTTCACACTCTTCTCTGAAGCATTCCTTTCCATGAGCCTGTGGGTTTTACTGGAAACCAGCGCAGCTGTCACCGACCCTCCCTGCCCCAGTGCTCCACACTACTCTTGCACCATGGCAATGAGGAAAATTCCAGAAACTGCTTTTCCCCATAATTCCAGATGGGGTAAGAGGGGGAGGTTCCCTCTGCTCCTGTTCCCTAAAACTTATCTGGGGGTTCTAAGTTTTCTCTGCTGCTGAATTTACCCCAGGTCAACCCCTTGCGTGACAGCCAACTAGCATCTCTCTCTGTTTCTCTCAAATCATCTCATCCTCTCCAGACAGGGTAAGTGTGATCTTCTCCAAGGAAAGGAGACTCTGTTTTGTGCAGTTTCCTGTATCCCCTACGTTTAGAACTGGACTACAGCTTTTGAGATGCTCTCTGCCTCCAAGTCTGTGGAGTTAACCCTTCCCTGAAGCAGGGCCTTGTGGCCCACTTTCTGACTTCCTGACGGGAAGACCTTTGTCTCAAGGTGGGGGGCAGGGGTCCCAGTAAATGCTGTACAGTGCTTTTCTGCCTACTAACCCCTTTTGGTCTGGGGATGTCTTTCCACACCCACATTTGCATTGCCGGGCCTGGAGCAGCAGGAATTAGTGTTGGCTGCTTCACAATCCATTGCTGAAGAGATGAACTTGACTGAGGAGGTTTTAGCACAAGGAATGGAGAGTAACAAACACAGGGCTCGTGGGAGCCACAAAAACCCACCCTCGTCCTCAGAAAGTGTTTGGCTTGTTGCTTAGGGCGCCCGGAAGGGAGAAGTGGAAAGGACCCAGAGCAGAAGTGGAGCAGCAGAGTCCTGGCACCCCCCCCCCCAAAACTCTTGACCCTTGGCTTCAGTTCCCCCATCCATGAAGAAGGGGCCCTGCCAGCTCTGAAGGACTGTGTTTTCTTGCGGTGTCCTGTCCCATTGTTTGGGAGACACTGACTTCAGGAAACACAGGAGTGGGTTGCAGCTGACGGAAAGACCCGGTTTTCCAGATTATTTCTCTGCAGCCTGGGACTGACTCAGGAAGGGGATGGGCAGAAGACCGTGGGACCTTCCTCGTCCCTGCCCCTGTGCCGTCAGATACGCCATGGGAGCGAGTCCCATTCCTCATGATGAAATGAGCTTCAGCGTGGTTTAGCTGGGCTGCCACGTATGGTTGCCCAGGTTGTGCCCTGCTCAAGAGTATGTGTCCCTGCAGATGCCCGCTGGTCACTGACTCCTGCTTGCCGTGGGCACTGCCCAGGGAGGAGCAGAGTCGGGTAACACTCACTGCGGCTGCTGAATGTCTACCGGATGCGGATTCTGTTCTCGGGGTTCCACCAGCAGGAACACAATCCCCAGAGCCACCCGAAGGGGACGGTTATTCTCACCCCCATTTGAGAGAAGAGGGAATGGAGGCTCAGAAAGGGGGTTTGTGTCTCTGGGGTCACATGGTGCCTGGCGGGAGCCCTTCATGAAGGGTTGTCTCCATTTCGAAATAAAGACTGAGTCACACGGATGGCCGGGGAAGAACGGGACGGGCGGGTCTAGGAGATGCCCAGGGGCACTGTGCTCTCGCCAGGTCGGGCAGGGAGAGCCGATCCCTATGCCCAGAGCCAGTTCCTGACCCCTTCCTCCCTGGGGTGGAACTTCGGGCCCTCAGTGACCGGCCTAGTGAGTCCTAGGGCAGGTTGGGGCTAGTGAGGCAGCTTCAGGGACGTGCAGGCAGGGGCTGGGGAGGGTTAAAGAGGCTTCTGAGATAAGGGCAACAAAAGGGATAAGGGAAGCTCCAGAGACAAGGGCAACAACTCCAAAGGGAACTAACCTGATACCCCGGGGCCAGGGCCAGTGACGTAGTGACGTTCTGGGACAGGTCAATAAAGAAAAGGGACTCTAAGATCAGGGCTGGGCACGAGACATTAGGCGGCGAGAGGGACCGCGAGAACTGAGCACTCACGGGAGGGGGGAGGGGGGGCTTTAGAATAATGAGGGAAAGAAGGTCTATGTTCCCTGAGGCACGACTCCACTTGGGCTTCCTTGCCCTCCCTGGCCTGGCTCCATGGCCTGGGGTCCCCCTTTATTTCTGCTCTTTTTCTCCTCAAGAAACTTTTTCTTTCTCTAAACAAACCTGCCTCTTCTCGTTGCTTGCCTGAGCGTCTGCGAAGTTCCTGCTGCGGCTTCGTGAGACACCAACCCGGTGGGGGGGGGGGTGTCTAGTGGCTGGGGCTTAGCGCTGCCCCCGCAGGCTGGGATCCGTTCCTGGCTGGGAGACCAGGCCTGAAACCCTGAAATTACCGTATCACTGCCATGGAGTTGACTCCATTTTCATTTTCACCTTGTGTTTACCAGTTGTGTGGAAAAACCTGTGATGGCTCATTTGACTTGAATAAGTAGCTCGTGTTTGCATTGGGCCGACCAGAGCACTGGATTATGGGTATCACCCAGGCATGGGCCACACTTAATGGGAGTCTGGCAGGCTGCTCTAGAAGTGACCGCCATCTGGTGACCTGAGAGCCTGGACATGTGTGTTTGGCTTTTCTAGAAAAGCTGACCAACTCTCGAGCCTGAAGGGGTCTTGCTCCATCCAGTACGAGCTGCCATTTTTCCTTCCTTCTTTGCTTTCTGAGCAAATGTTAAGGGAGGCCGAGACTGGGAGGCAGCCAGATGAGGTCTTTGGGCGCACCATCACAAAGGATTTTGATGAATCCATAGAGCCATCGTCACTGTTCTTGGATGTCACAGGAATCCCTTCCCAGACCATGCACCAGGCCTTCAATTACCAGAGGGAGCGGTCATTAGGGGTCTATTTAAGAGCGGGCACCCAGTCTGTGACTCGCAAAAGGCCTTCGTACGTAACAAGGCTTCCCAAAATCCTTATGTTGTCACAGAGAGGTTCGGCAAGGGAGGGAGACCAAAGGTCTGGAGGGAAATCATCATAATAAAATACGTGCCTGTGTGTTCGCGTGTGTGTGAACATGTCGCTCCTGCCCGAGGTGCAGGGACACTCAGGGAAAGATGTCCTCTCTGTGGGCACAGCCCGGGGGGGATCCCCAGCTACCTGCACGACGTGCAGTCCTGGGAATCTTGTGGAACAATGACCAAGCCATGTTCATGTTACTTCACCATGTCTTTGAATTATGTTACACGAGATAACTTCGGGCACTCCTAAATTGAGTATGAATTTGTGGTAAGGTTTTTTTAAAAATACGCCGAAGAAAAATTCCTGCGAAAGGAATATTTTCCCCATTCTCTTCCTCAGTGTCCCCCAACCCTGCTCTCCAGAAACAAGTGGGGTGAACGCCTTCGCCACTCCCACATACACACAAACACACACAGACCCGCAACAGCACTCCATAGATGGCTGGCTCGGGTCACATTACTTGATAAGTGATTTTTCTCAACCCAGATTTCAGTTTTGAAACTTTCAAGCACAGTCAGTAGATGATTTGGCAATTGTGAAGAAATCACAAGTTCTCTTCTACTCACATGAACTTCTGCAAACCACATGCCAGGTTCCGCTGATGCTAAATCGACCTGTTTCAGGAAGTCCGCCTGTTTCTCTGCTCTGGGCACTGAGCACCAGCCGCACAGAGGTGCCTCTCTGCAGGCTGCAGGGGATGGAGTGAGAACCGAGCCTGGACCCGACGCACCGCGGTAAGGCACGGCTATTGCTTTAACAACATTCGCCAACGAAGCGGGCGTTTCTCCCCCAGCTACAGCTAGGCGCGAACAGTGTGAGCAAAGAAAGCAACTCGTAAGCAAAGTGGCCTGGTGTGCGGTCAGTCTAGAAGATCAGATGCAGCCGTTTCCTCATTCATCTGAACAGGAGAAGCAAATTCCAAGTTAGAAAGCCAAAGGGTTGGCAGTAGAAAGTGGGGAGGGCGAGGGGGGTTTTCCTGTCACTTCTACAGAAAAGGACAAACTCTCCTCACATACCCCAGTCATGTGCTGGCAGCCAGGCAAAGCCCAGATGAAGGACCAGGAGAAACTTCACTTCAGTGCTAATTGCTACTTTTCCTGTTCAGAGTTTTTAAGCAAAGGTGTTTCCATTTTTACTGTTATGTTCTGTGGTGCTGAGCCATAGCAGATGGTCAGTTTTCGTTATGGTCAAAAACCTTCCGATTGAAAAACAAACGTTATCATTTTTAAATGATCTATTTCTAGAAAATTCAGTGTGATCTGAGAGCAGTTGAAAGATCTGGTTTCCAGAGAATCTTATCCAAAATGTACCTGACATTCTTTCCAGGCTCACTTAGCTCTTGGAGTCGTTTTTTGCAACCACGTAACATGTCTTTAAGTGTTTGATGTTAACTTTTTACATCCATTTCATGCTCATGTAGATCTTGAAGGTAATGAAATGTGCTGTGAAATTTTCTGATGCTTTACAAAAGGGGCCACAGGAACTGGGCGAATGTGCCAGTGACATACATGCAGTGGCAACTGCAGTCACCGAGCCATGACTGGGTGTGCAAACTGCAGGCAGAACCAGCAGGACTGGACTGTCAGACAGTGAAAAGGAGAACGATAAGAAAATGAGGGTGAACTTGGGAAAACAGTCCTCCTCCTCCTGGTGGTCCTCAGTGGAGGCCAAGCCCCGCGGAGCCCCCTCCTCAGAGTAGCAGCTCCTAGCCTTGGCCACGTATTGGAATGCTAGAAGTCCTGGTGCCCAGGCTGAACCCCAGACCAATGAAATCAGAATCTGGAGGACCCCCCCCATCCCAACACTGCGTCTCTGAAGCTTTTCAGCCCCCAAGGACCCCCGGGGTGCAGCCAAAGCAGACAGCCACTCTCCTAAAGCAGCCCCTGAGCAGCTGTTCTAGTCCTTTCCTCAAAGAGCACAGTTCTTTTTGGGGGAGACCTGAGTGAAGCCTGTTCATTGCCCCCGTGGTGTGGCGGCAGAACGCAAAGTAAAAGCTCCAAGTCTGCGTACCTGGCAAGCTGGGGCTCCAGGTCGGGAAGGCAGAAGGCGAAGGGCCTTCTCCTGCAACCCGCGCCGCTCACCCTGCTCGAAAGTCCCCCCACCCCCCACACCCCCACACCCCACACACCCCACAGAGCGTGCGAGGAAGCAGGCAGCTTGGGCGGCCAGGCCAGGGCCTATCGGGACGGGTCTCACAGGGGAGGACGCGTCCCCCACGCCGAGTCCAGCAAGTCCGTCTGTGGCCGCCTTAGCGTCGCCGCCGCCAGGGTGTTTTGAGGGGAGCAGCATCCGACGCAATGCCTTTTGGGTTCCACTGAGGTGCTGAACAGAGGCGAGCGGGTCTGTTGTTTTTTTAACTATTATTCCCCGCTGTGACCCCAGGGCTGGGACCCGAGTAAACGCATAACCCATAACCCGCTGCTCTGGCTCGCCACGGGCCCCACAGGCTGCGGCGGCCTTTCGGGGGTTACCAACTGCTCCCAGTCGGTGCATATGTCTAAACTGAGGGTCCCCCTAGCCTCAGCCCCAGCTCCTCCCCTCCCGTCTGAGCGGTAGGGCCCGCGCCTGTAAAATAGGGGGGATAACAGCGCCCCCCTCCCTTCCCGCACCTTGCCGAGGTGCCCGAGATTAAGCAAGAGAACGCAGGCGGCGCGCTGGCCCCGTGAAGCTTCACACAGAACCCCGAAGCGCTCCCGCCCGCACAGCCCGGACTCGGGGCGCATCGCGGTTCCCATCTCCGTATCTCTGGAAGCAGGAGCCCCCTCTTTCTGCTAGGCCAGCATGCGGCCGCGGCTTTCTTTCCCAAAGCTGGCGGCGACCGCATCCAACTCGGGGTGACCCAAGCGTCTCTATTATTAGCTGTTGTCTTCAAAGACGACAAGTCGTACCTGCACGGCCGTGTCTTCATTTCCTTTGGTAACAGCCCTGGCAGAGCGGCTGCAGAGGAGCCAGGCTCCCCTCAAATTAGCGCCAGGTCCAGTTTGGCGACCATTCAGTTCCGGTTGAATCCCACGTAGGCCCAAACAGCTACGTGATTGTATTGGTGGGGGGGTTAATCACTTTTTATAATCAATAGCTTCTCTGGCCACTTCGGTGCTGGGGGCATCCGCAGGACCCACCCTGAGAAAGGGGTGCAGCCGCGGAGATGGTCTGAGGCGAATCACACCTGGACAAAGGCAGCCTGGGGAGGAGGGAGAAGGAGCTGCAAATGGCCGCTCCCAGCCCTGACAGGGCACGGGAAGGTGCCAGCTGTGCTCCAGGAGCAGCCCCCGGCCCTCTGCACTGCAGACTGCGTGGGAAAACCTGCAGTATTTATTTTAGTGTCACCTGCAGGATCACGCTGTGGCACCCCACAGTCCAGTCCCTGCCCTCGCTGCCACCCCCACTGCAGGGGCTGGGTTTTGGGGGTGGCTCCTGGGCTCATTCTGAATCCTGAGTTGAGGGTGTCCTGACTTGAAGCAGACTTTTCTGAGCTGTTCTGCAAACTGCCCTAGTCTTTTTTTTTTTTTTTTTCTTTAAATGAGTCACATGTTTTCTTTAAATAAATGGGTCCTGATTTTTTTTTCTGGGTGTTCCAAGGCAGCCTCCAGTGAAAACTTGTAACCAGCAGAATCAGGGTGTTGCAGACACTGGCTCATGGGGTGTGTCCACCAATGGCTTCCTCCGAGGTCCCCCTGGACAACTCTTGTCCCCCTGCTCTCTGCTTTTACTCCTCCCGTCCCCGAGGGTGGCGGTGACAAAGTACCTGAGCTCAGGGCCTCCAAACAACAGAAATGTACCCCTCATAATTCTGGGGGCTGGACACCTGATGTGTTGTCCAGAGAGTTGGTTCCTTTGGGGGGGGGGCTCAGAGGGAAAATCTCTCCCACATCTCTCTCCTGCTTCTGGGGCTGACTGGCAAGTCCTGGCAACCCGGGCTTGCACCTGCACCTCTGCAGTCTCTATGTCCACCTTCACGTGTCTTCTTCCGCTGTGCGTCTCTGCCCATGCTTCCCTCTTCTTTTTTTTTTTTAAAGATTTATTTATGTATTTATACAAGCACTGGGTACAGTCAGAAGCGCGGGAAGGTGAGAGAATTCACCAGAGTCAGAGCAGGGAGCAGAACAGGCAGAAGGACCGAAGTACACTGCTGAAGGGAGCAGCGGGCGGCAGGAGAGGTCAGCGCGCCATGCGGGTCCCTCGCCTGGCGGCCGGGGATCGAACCGGCGCTGCAGAGGCTGCGGACAGCTTCACAGGTTCCATCTTAACCCCTTGTGCCACCAGGGAGGCCCCACATTCTATTTTTTAATGTAGCAGATATGCAAGGAAAATGCAGGAAATGCTAATGTGTCCCCAATGAAGGTGGCCGAAGTATCAGTCCACACTCCCATAGGCCAGAACTGTGTCAACGCTCAGCTCTCATATTTTAGCAAGACAATATGGTACACAGAGGATAGATTATGCAATATTTCCAATGGGCCTGAGTCTCGCACACCTTCTTCTGTTGTGAAACGTGAAAGCTCATGGTGCATGGACGAAGAAAGATTATTGGAGCCGTGGGTAAGTTCCAATCAGGTTTGGCTGCCAGATAAGCTGCCTACCAACAAACAAAATCTGAAAGGTGCTCAGACCTTTTAGGACTGCAGAGAGGGGGTGGAGATCTCTGCAAGACAGGGCTGATATTAAGAAACCCGCTCTAAGCCACTGTCCTGATGCCAGGAGGCCCTGATTCAACCAGTTGTGGCATCTCCAATGTTTGTTTTCAGTGTTTGTTTCCATCTCTCTTTCAAGCTGGGTGAATTCCTTGGTGACTGGCACTGGGTGCTAGTTCTTATCCAAGAGTAGGGCGCCAAAGGGGCCATCGTAAATGCCAACTGCAAAGACAGGGCTTCCCAGCAAATGAGTCTCAGCCTAGGAAGGGTGAGTGTGAGCCAGCTTTTGTGGGGTGTTGACTGGGCCAATGTAACCCCTAGATGGTTTCTATGTGCCTAGCCTGGAGTAGAGTAAGGACAACACCACACTCAACTTGGGTGCAACATTTAAGGAGGGAGGGTGCCCCAAAGTTCAGTAATCAAGATCAGTAATACGCTAATGCTTTGATCTTTTAAGATCAAATTGTCCAGCTGCCTGCTGTGGTAAGTCAAGTTTGACTGGATCCAGAATCGGATGGGGCAGGGGAAGCAATGCCTGGCAAGTGCGGGGTCAGATTCTGTCTTTATTTTGATTGATGACATTCTGTTCATCAGAGATTTTCTTTTTTAAAAACAGGATCCATCTTGATGAGTGCACTTTGCACTCAAGGCCCTGCAACTGTGCGCATCCGTTTTCGCAGCGAGACCCCAGTCTGCTGCTGGGGTGCTGGAGCAGAGCAGCCATCAGCCGGTGGCAGTGCGCGAGCTGGGGAGGGGACGCGGTCGCGTACTGTCCTTTGATGCTGTCCATCTCTCTGGCAGGGCACCGAAACCAAGGCTCCTGGCCCCCTGGTTCTCAGAGTTCACCTTTGAGATGGTGAGTCAGGGGCAGGGGCAGCGCGTCTTCTCATACACTGCACCAGCCTGCTAGCATGCCGCCTTGCATGCCCCACCAAGGCCTCGTCATGTGCCATTAGGCGTCTCTGCAGGCAACTGGGACATGAGGTGACTTGGCTCTGGCTGGTCTTGGGCAGCAAGCCCGCCCCCTTCTGTGCTGCCACCAACTGCTCCACCACCTGCTCTCTGCGCCCTTGGCTTCTGCCCATCCCCTTGGCCCAGCTCCCTGCAGGCCCTCTTGCCTGCAGATCGCTAATCTTTCTGTGTCACTTTAAAGAGCCTGCGCGGTCAGGCACACCCCACAGGCCCTCCCTCTCAGGGCCTGCTCTCCCTGTGCTGGCACGGCTTGCATTTTCTATTCGATCTGTGCAGTTGTCCCTTTAGCCTCCTTTATTTGCAGAGCTGCCATTTCTCTTCTGCTAGGAGTCTGCTTTTCATTTGTGGGCTCCACCTTAACGAGTGTGCCCTTCACACTCCGCTTCTCCTTCCTTCTAACCTCCTTCTGGAGCCACAACTTCAGCATTCAGAGGACAGGCTGTGGCCACAGGAAGCACTTGGCCATAGTCAGCCCTGCTGGGGCTTGGGCGCTGCTCTCTCAGATCCAGCTGCATGAGGTGAGGGGAGTGGGGTTTCCCTGCCCGGCTGCGTGGACTCAGCTGCGCCTCCTGCCAGGGGAGGGCCTGAGGTGGAACTAGAGGCCACAACAGTCAGGGTTCGGTCCTCAACTTCCGTGCTAGCTGCCCCGCTCACCACTTCCCACTCTTCCCACCACGAGCTTCTGTTCAAATTAGGATTCTGTGGAACTTGTCAACCTGTGTTCTTACCTCAGGGAAAGGTAGGAGCCTCAAGTTCCTCACTCACAACCCCACCCCCGCCTGCTGCTGGAATATTCTGAGCCTGCCCATGCCCCAACCTTTAAGATGCTTCAGACTCTCTGGGAGGCTATTTTCATCCTGGAAATAAAAAAAGTTAACTTCAAAAGGCCTCGCTGCTGGTCTCTAGCGCCCCCTAGTGGCTCTTCTTAATTGCTCAGCATCGCAGGCAGTTGGTTGCCTTTGGAATCCCACCCGGACCTCAACTTGAGGCCAGCGAGGCCACACAGGACTACCCAGTCCCCTGGACCGGCCCAAGTAATCAGCTAAAAATGCCTCACGTACCAGGAGTGCTAGTTTACCTTAGCGGGCCCAGCAGCCTCCCCGGCACGGTCGGGGCATCTCGATTAATCCTTCCCAAGAGCTATCCTGATTTTCTCAGCAACACAATCTCAGACAGCTTTGTCGTCAATTTTTTGGGACCCTCAAAGTGGAACACTGAAAAACTAAAATCATTTGGAACCTGATTTATTTTATTTTATTTTATTTTTTAGAAGATTTATTTATTTATTTATTTACACAAACACTGGGTACAGTCAGAAGCGCAGGAGGGTGAGAGAATTCACCAGAGCCGGAGCGGGGAAGAGAACAGGCAGACTGACGAAATACACTGCTGAGGGGAGCAGCGGGCACGGCAGGTCTGTTGCGCCATGTGGGACCCTTGCCAGTGGCTGGGGATCGAACCGGCACTGAAGAGGCTGCGGGCAGCTTTGCAGCCCAGCGCTCAACCGCTGCACCACCAGGGGAGGCCCTGGAACCTAATTTAATGCACCGATTTAATTGTTAAGAGAACTCACACTTCAGCACTCAGCAAAGGATGGGGTAGCGCTGTTAATGCCTCAGCACTGGCCGCAGACGCTGCCGGTCTGACGTCTGACATCATGTCTCCGCTTTTGATTTTCTCTAGGAAAACATGGCCCTTCGGCCTTCGCTGCTGACCTGCCTTTTCCTGCTAATCTCCGTTTCCTATGAGATCTTCCCCAGAACGAATTATTCTAGAAGTTATCCTTGTGATGAGAAAAAACAGAACAACTCTGTTCTTGCAGAGTGCAACGACCGTCGCCTGCGGGAAGTTCCCCGAACACTGAGCGAGTACGTGACCGACCTGGACCTGTCAGGTAATCTCATCACACTCATAACAAACGAATCCTTCCAAGGGTTGCACAATCTCACCAAAATCAACCTAAACCACAACGCCAACCCACAGCACCACAATGAAAACCCTGAGCTGAGCAGGAACGGCATGAACATCACCGACGGGGCCTTTCTCAACCTACAAAGCCTGGAGCAGTTATTGCTGGAAGACAACCAGCTAGACAAAATCCCAGCGGGCCTGCCGGGGTCTTTGAGAGAACTTAGTCTAACTCAAAACAACATCCTTTCCTTCACTAAAAAGAACACTTCTGGACTGACGAATCTCAGCCGTCTCCACTTGGGCTGGAACTGCTATTTTGGCAACGATTGTTCCAAAACCTTTGTCATTGAAAACGGGACGTTTGAAAGCTTGAAGCACCTGAAGGTGCTGTGGCTCTCCTTCAATGACTTGCATCATGTGCCGCCCCGGCTGCCATGCTCCCTGACTGAACTTTATCTCAGCAACACCAACATCAGCAGCATCAGCCAAGAAGACTTCCAGGGGCTGGGAAATCTGCAAGTGCTAGATTTAAGCGGGAACTGCCCAAGGTGTTTCAATGCCCCGTTCCCTTGTCTCCCCTGTAAAGGCGAAGCTTCCATTCAGATACATCCTCTGGCTTTCCAAAGTCTGCACGAACTGCGCTACCTGAACCTCTCCAGCACCTCACTGAGGAATATCAGCGCAAGCTGGTTCGACAATATGCCTTATCTGAAGGTGCTGCATCTTGAGTTCAATTACTTAGTGCACGAAATAGCCTCCGGGGAATTTTTAACCAAACTGCCCTCCTTAGAAATACTTGACTTGTCTTTTAACTATGAAAAGACAGCCTATGAGCGCTGTATTAAAATTTCCCCAAACTTCTCTAACCTCACGTCTCTCCGAGTCCTGCACTTAAGAGGCTACGTGTTCCAGGAACTCAGAAAAGAGGACTTCCAGCCCCTGATGACTCTCTCCAACTTAAAGACCATCAACCTGGGTGTTAACTTTATTAAGCAAATTGATTTTAGTATTTTCCAGCATTTCCCCAACCTGACCATCATTTACTTGTCAGAAAACAGAATATCCCCCCTGGTCAATGACACCAGGCTAGAGCCTGGGGGCGGCTCCTCCTTCCAGAATCACATCCGGAGGCCGCGCTCGGCGGGCGTTCAGTTTGACCCGCATTCGAATTTCTACCACACCACCAACCCTTTGGTAAAGCCACAATGTGCAGCCTACGGCAAAGCCTTAGATTTAAGCTTGAACAGCATTTTCTTCATTGGGGAAAAGCAGTTCGAAGCTTTCGGGGACATCGCCTGCTTGAATCTCTCCTCCAATGGCAACGGCCAGGTGCTCCACGGGACAGAATTTTCAGCTGTGCCTCATGTCAAATATTTGGATTTGACAAACAACAGGCTGGACTTCGCTGACGACAGGGCTCTCAGCGAGCTGACCGAGCTGGAGGTCCTAGATCTCAGCTACAACGCGCACTATTTCCGCATAGCCGGCGTCACCCACCAGCTGGGGTTTATTCAGAATTTAACGCAGCTGAAGGTTTTAAACCTGAGCCACAACAGCATTTACACCCTGACGGAGTACCAGCTGAAGAGCGAGTCCCTGGAAGAGTTAGTTTTCAGCGGAAACCGCCTGGACCGCTTGTGGAACACCGACGACAACAGGTACCGGCAGCTTTTCCAGTGCCTCGGGAACCTGAGCCGGCTGGACCTCGCCTTCAACAGCCTGCAGCGGATCCCGGACGAGGCCTTCCTCAACCTGCCCCGCAGCCTCGCCGAGCTCTACCTCAACGACAACATGCTCGATTTCTTTAACTGGACGCTCCTCCAGTACTTTCCTCATCTCCACCTGCTCGACCTCAGCGGCAACCAGCTTTCCTCCTTAACCAGCAGCCTCTTGCAGTTCACGCCTCTTCGGACCCTGCTGCTGAGTCACAACAGGATCTCCCAGCTGCCCTCCGGCTTTCTTTCCGAAGCCAGCAGTCTGGTGCACCTCGACTTAAGCGCCAACCTGCTAAAGACGGTCAACAAATCCACGGGGCAGGGCAAGGCCGCCGCCACCTTAGCCATTCTGGAGCTAGGCGGGAACCCTTTCGACTGTACCTGCGACATCGGAGACTTTCGAATGTGGATAGATGAGAATCCGAACGTCACCATTCCCAGGCTGACAGACGTCCTCTGCGCCAGTCCCGGCGATCAAAGCGGGAAGAGCATCGTGAGCCTAGAGCTGACGACCTGCGTCTCCGACGCCATCGCGGCCGTCCTCTGTCTCTTCACCTCCTTCGTCACCATGCTGGTGATGCTGGCCGCGCTGGCCCACCACTGGTTCTCCTGGGACGCCTGGTTTATCTACCACGTGTGCTTAGCTAAGGTCAAAGGCTACCGGTCTCTTTCCACATCCCAGACTTTCTACGATGCCTACGTTTCTTACGACACCAAAGACGCCTCCGTCACCGACTGGGTGATCAACGAGCTGCGCTTCCACCTAGAGGAGAGTGAGGAAAAGAACGTGCTCCTGTGCCTGGAGGAGAGAGACTGGGACCCGGGACTCGCCATCATCGACAACCTCATGCAGAGCATCAACCAAAGCAAGAAGACCATATTCGTCTTAACCAAAAGCTATGCCCAGAACTGGAACTTCAAGACAGCCTTCTACTTGGCTCTGCAGCGGCTCATGGACGAGAACATGGACGTGATCATCTTCATCCTGCTGGAGCCCGTGCTGCAGCACTCGCAGTACCTGCGGCTGCGGCAGCGCATCTGCAAGAGCTCCATCCTCCAGTGGCCTGACAACCCCAAGGCCGAAGGCTTATTTTGGCAAAGTCTGAAAAACGTGGTCCTAACGGACAATGACTCCCGGTACAACAATTTATACGTCAATTCCATTAAGCAGTACTGACTGGTGCCAAGTCGCGGCTCCCCGGCGCAAACACAGGCACAGCCGCCACCCTGCTGTCCCAGGCCCCGACCGCTGTGGAACCAGCGACCCCAACTTCGTGGCTTCGGCTGACGCGCGCTTAACTCCAGGCCCGGCTTAACCGGGGCGTGGGCTCAGAGAACCCCCACAGGATGCCGACGAGGTGTCAGCAGGGCCTCCGGGCAGCCCTGGGGGGGCGAGGGTCCACCTCGACACTCAACTCACGGTCGATTTCATGATTCAGCCCCTCCTGGGCTGTTGGCCAGAGACGGCTCGCATAGTCCCCCGGCGAGTGGGTCCCCCACAAGGCCGACTGTTTCCTCAGAGCAGCAAGAGGGGATGCTAGCCAGGTGGAAGGCACCATCTTTCGGAACCCCACCCGGGGAGCCATGCGCCGCCACCTTGGCCATAGTCTCTCGTTAGAAGTCAGTCACAGGCCTCACCAACCCCCCGGGTGTGCTCACCTCAGCCAGGGAAACTTGTCTCTGACCCGGATGGCTGGCCGTGATACCCTCTATCGGCTTGCTGTCCGGCTTCTGGAGCAGGAATACCAGGAGGCGGGGAAAGCTGTGGGCCACGTCAGCCATTGGCCTACTACACCTTCTCAACAGCTCAGAGCTTCAGCAGCTGTGATGGTTCGAATGTTCTCTTGCTGTTTAGATTTATCATCTCTCCATGGCTCTGTGGTTAGATTGAGCTGTGGCTGCCTGATTCTCTCCTCCACAACTACTTCTACAAATACTGGCTACAGTATTTGACTTCTAAGGATGCCATGTAAAGGATAGTTTTTAAAGCTTGTTTTAAACGTCTTTACCATCTTTTAAAGTGTGTAGTTAAATTAGTAGCACTTGGAGAAAGTGTCGATTGCCATTGCTGTGAGTCTCGAATGATGGAAAATGCTTCATTTCACATGAGCAGATGAGAGATATACAGCAGGGAGGTACCGCTATAATACAAAGGAAATTGCTATTGCACTGAGTATCCTGAAACTGCTTTCAAAAATTAGATCTGGGTAGAAATCAAAGGGGAAGCAGTTTTCATGAGCTTTGTACATTAAGATTCTTATTATAGAGAAATCTATTTTGGATTCTTCTAGCTTCTGGGGTTTGCTGGCCGTCTCTGGTTTCCCTTGGCTTGTGGGTGTATCACTCCCATCTCTGCTTCCACTATCACACGGTTATCGTCCCTCTTTGCCTCTCTCTTCTCATACAGTCACCAGTCATACTGGATTCAGGGTCCACGTACTCCAATATGGCCTCCTTTTAGCTAATTACAAGTGCAACAGCCCCATTTCCAAATGAGTTTGAGTTACTGGAGGTTAGGACTTCACCACATAATTTGGGAAGGACGCACTTCAACCCCAAACAACAGCCAGGGCTTTTCTTGTCTAGAAAGGACTCAGAACTCTGTGAGGGTTGCAAATGCCTTGTGAATGAGAAAGTCATTTATGATCCTTGGCAGACTAAAGGCAAGTTCTCTCTCACCTGTGAATAAAGCTATTAGGTGATGTGAGTGTGTTTCCGCTGTCATTATCCTTGAGCTTAAAGCCATAATTGTGTCCATTATTTCCAATATTCCCTTATTTCACATGGTTGCGTTCTCTTCCTTTCTGCCTTTGTGTGCTCCCAGGAAAGAGGGGGCTTCGGGGATCCCCACGCCATCCTCTGCCATCACACTGAAGTCTTGGAGAAACAAGGCGAGGGATCTTTGTGCTTGGGACCCAAAGGACACATCTCAGGACTTTCTGTGCCAATGGCCCAAAATGGAAAATGTTGTTTACAAATGGCTCTCCCGTTTAAAAACGGAAGAGACTAAAATTCTTTATATATAGACTGAAAATTCATAATATATTCATCAGAAAAGCAAAATCCCACTAATGAGAGCAGAATATTGCTGTTAGGAGCCATTTTATTTTATTTTTTTTCTAGTGAAAATGCATTTATGGGCGTAGAAAGAAAAGACCCATCTGTCTTATCTGCCTTTCCTTTGGCCAATGTTAGGGATCATTCCCTATTTATTTCAGTAAGGATGACACCAGAGCTCAGAGACAATCAAGGGCAATGTTTGGGTTTGCAAGAAAAGCCCCAAAGCAATAGTGCCAGCCAGTACTCGAGACTCAGTGTTGATTACTCCATCTGACTCCCTCACCTGACCATTCATCAAGCACTCTAGATCTGAGCTCCCAAGTTTCTCTCCCATCCATCCTCTATCTCCATCATCAGCCTCCCTTGTCTGAGCTCCCAGCATCTCTCCCTGGCTTTCCGACATCTACCGTGGTCTCTCCAATCAGCAGCCAGAGTGATTCTTGAAAAGGGTCGTCTCTTCTGAATTACGTTTAAAATCTCAACTGTCCTCCTGTTTGCCTGTCCCTCCTCCAGCCTCTGCTCTAAGCACCCCCATGCACACGTTAACGTTTCCAGAGGTTTCCATGGGCTATTTACTGATGACACCGTCTTAAAACCACATGACTATGTTTCTGACTATGTCAGTGTGCACCACGCACCAGTCCACCGAAGGGATACAGTCTAGGAAACGCCCACCAAAACAGTCAAACTGCTCCTTCAGGTCTTCCTGCTCCTCCAGCTTAGCCCAACAGCGGTGCATACTTTGCCAGCAGCCTCCACCGGCCAGATGTGTCACACCAGGCCCTCATTGAACACCCATTCCAAAAGGAATGCTCACTAAGGTTTATGAGAACATGGTCCAAAGAGAATGTAAACTACTATATGAGTGCATGCCCCATCCTCATTACCCCAACTGATATACTTAAGGGGAAAATCCTTTCTGCAGAGATGGCTTTGTCGGTGAAACAGCCGCAGCACCAGGGGATGGGGCCAGTCTGGATTTACCACCACCAGGGGGCGCGCGACTCTTCCCCACGCCGCAACACACCCATCACGGCCACTAGATGGCAGCAAAGATCCGTGTAAAGCTTGGGATTTCGCTTTCGCGCAGGGTGTGGAAGGGCCTTTGTTTACGCTGGAACCTGGCTTGTCACCTGCCCCTGGACTCAAACCCTCCTCCCGCCACGCCGCCACAGCCTGAGAGCCAGTGTGCTGAAAGTCAGGTTGCTGATAAAGGGCTGGACCTGTGCCAGTGGGAGAATGGGCTCTCGTCAAAAGGGCAGTTGGAGGGAACCTCACCGCACGGTCTGTTCCCCATGTCTAGGTTTAATCAACTTGGACATCGACCGCTAAGCTGGGGTGGGGGTGGCAGCTTCTTATTGGCTCGTGGTGATGTCAGACCAGGCTGGAAGAACTGGTTTTCCTGGTGTGGGGTTTCTTTAAACCGTGAAACATCTTCTAGAAAATGCCTCCGTCTGGAGGGGGGGGGGGGCTTGGGGGAGCCTCCCATGGTCACTGGATAGGAAGCTCTTCCCTACCTGGCTCTTTATAAACAATGGGAGACCCAAGGCCTAGGGTGAAGTGGGAGGAGGAAAAGCCAGCTGTGGCCTAAGCCGCCTGCCGCCCTGCCAGTCACCTTGTGCTTGCAGGGCCCCACCAGGGGCTCAGAGGGCTTGGAGTGGGTGCTGCCTGGGCAGCGGGGCTGCAGGGAGATCCCGGGGTTCAGGGAGAAGTGTGGTTAGACGGCAGTCCTTGCTCTGGGTTCATGACACCCTTGGGTTCCTTATGCCCCAAGCTCAGCGAGACAGAGTCCGCTGCGGCAGAGCAGGGCCGTGTTGAGCCGAGCATAAAGCAGACGTGGCCTCCTTCCCCTCCTGAGCTGCCGCGGGCCTGCGGTTTACCGGGCGCTGAAGGAAGCGCTGGCCTTGGCCGACCTTCCCGGTTGTCTTTACAAAGGGAAGCCGGAGCTCTTGGACTTCTGGCCATTTGCGTTTGCTTCCAACCCCTCTGCCCCCGCGGGACGGAGCTCCCCTGTCCCCCAGGCCGCTGCGCTCCTGGGTGGAGAAGCAGCGCCCGCACAGCTCAGGCCGGGTCTGCGTGGAGGGCAGCCCGCGGGGCACCCCTGCGGGCCGCGACCCGGGTGACGCCAGGAAGCCTCGCTCCCGCCACCTGAAAGGGCCCCGGCCCCTGGGCGGCACGCGCTGCGGCGCCCCACCCTCTCGGGCGCTGGGCTGTGTGAGCCCCCAGCGGGGGCAGAGGCGGAGGGGTGCTGGACAGGGCGGCCCCCCCACTCCACGCCGTGGGCGGCGCAGGCGTGTCCCGTGTCCCCGCCTCACGCGCCGCTGCTCTCGGGCACGAGCACGCCGCGCGGCCTTCCCACACCCGCCCTCCGCTCACCAACTCGGGGCGACGCTGAAAAGGCCAGGGGCTGGCAGGTCCCCGTTTCCAGGAGCCGCCTCAGCTCGGAGGGAGGGAGCACGCGGCTCGAGGCGGCACAGGAGAAATCTATCGGATGGGCGGGGCAGGCAGGAGGCCCCCCCCAAGGGGTCCCCATCCTCACCCAGGGCACCTGCGAATGGCAAGAGGAAAGAGGGTGCACCCGGCAAGAGGAGACTGAGGGTGCGGCTGGCACGGGAACGGGCCAGGGTCCTGAATCCCGCAGGTGGGGGCGGGGGGGCGCGTCACAAGGCCCCTTAAAAGCAGGAGAGGGAGGCAGAACAGACTGGAACTACCGAGCAGAAGCCTGGGACACAGCACCGCTGGCTTTGAAAGGGAGGACGGGGCGAGGCCCAGGAACGCGGGAGGCCTAGAGACGCTGGAATGGGCGAGAAAGGAGATCCTCCCCTGAGCCTCCAGAGGGGCACCCAGCCCTCCAGTACCTGGGAACCACTGCTGGTCTCCAGTACTCAGGGGCGCATGCGTGTTCCCTCAGAGGCTAAAGGTGGGGTCCTTGGCTCTGGCGGCCACGGGAAAGTCCTGCAGTGAGACCTGCCATGGGGTCTCATTTCTCCATCTTTCTAGGCCTTTCCTTCTCCCGAGTTCCCTAAAACCTAGCTTCTGCATTGACTGTCCGGTTGGAACCCCTGACCTACCTGTCAGTCTGCTCCCAGATCACAAAGGGCAAGAAGAGTGTTCTCGACATTCCTGCCGCCCCTTCTGCCCGCACGGTTCCTTCCCCGAGACCAGAGCCTCACTACACTCAGCACGTGTGACTGTGCCAGTAATAAATGAAGCAGAGCTTGCCTCTGACATCCTTGGCGGAGCGCAGCCTCTTCACCCCAGAAACCCCCGCGCCAGCTGTGGACCTTCAGGACAGTTCAAAGCCACTCGGCCCACTTTCCCGCAGTGCGGTCTGGGCCACTGCAGGAAGATCCAGGCAGCCTGCCTCTCCCTGCCCCTGGCCCCCCACTAGTGTGCCTCTGGTAGTCTCTTTTGCAGAGGAAGGAAGGTTCTGGTTCAAGACAAAAGAGAAAGCAGCGTGATGAATGATTCAAGGAGCCTCAGACTCGGCTCCGAGTGTTTGTCTCAGAAAAACTCCTAACTGGATTTCGGCCTTTAGGCAACTCACTTATTGACTCTGTCTTCATTTATCAAATGTGAGAAATGCCAGCTCTGTGCTCTGCTTACTTCCAAGCCTGCGGAAAAGGAGTAAGACTTATGGCCGGGCCCTGAATGCTGCCACACACTGCGGTGCTGGGAACAAACGTGACCACGTGCTCTGCAGGGCTGGCTACGTAGCAAAGTTCACATTCACATGGGAAGTGAAAGTGACTCACAGTGCTGTTGCTGTCACGTGACTCTGGGGGCGGATCAGCTCCCAGAGCCTGTTTGCTCTGTGTGAGAGAGAGATGAGGGACAGGAGCTCTGCTTAGAGCTCACGGCCCGCCCCTTCTCAGCCCTTCGCTGATTTTTTAAAAAATCTTTCTTGAGGTGTGTTGGCTGACAACACTCTATGATTTAGGGGAACTGGCTTGCACCTCTCAGATGTGTGTGACCCCACCACGCCCACACTGAGGCCCCACACGGAGCCCCTCCCCAGCCCTGCCTGCTCTCCTAACTCTGCAGGCCATCCAGTTTACACTTTATCCAGGCACACAGCTGGGCAGTGGCAGAGTGAACCGGCAGTTACACAGTTGGTCGGCTCACAGCCCCTTCTTCAAAAATGACTCAACTTCAAGATGGCGGTGGCCGGATGTTAAACCAAGCAGGGGCCCTCCTGAGCCGGGCCCCACAAGGTCACACCGACCGCACAGCCTGGAAGCCACCGGGCTGTCTGACTCCAGAGCCTTCTGTCTTCACATCTATGCTACCACAGCTGTGTCCTCCGGGGGAGGTTGGAAGGGAGGCTAACATGTTCCTGGCAGAGAGACAGCGTGAAGGACCGTCTGGAAGTGGAGGCGCAGAGAGGGATACGCTTGAGGGATGATAAAGGCTCGTGGCCACAGTGTGGGTCACTTGGAGGAAGCAAAAATGTCCTGGTAGATAGCACTGGCGGTAAGCGGTGGCACTGAAGGCCACCCCAGGGGCCAAGGCTTGCTGCTGCAGGCAGGTTTAGAGGCCCTTGATATCGGTGCAGGTCAGGGAACTAACCCTAGGGGGCAGTGTGGAGTGGGCAGCCTGGGCCCTGGGCCCAGAGCCCCGGGGTGGGTGGGTGGAGGCTGTGACCTCTCCAGGGGCACAGTGATGATGGGCTCTTGCTGTAGAGGCAGGGTCGTGGGGAGAGGTGGACAAGCGCCAGGTGAGTCGAAATGATAAATTTGGGTCAAAA